CCGGTACGCGGGCTGCCTTCGGGAGTGACGGGAGCCTCTCCCTGCTGCGAGGAGAAGGCGGGCTGGGCTCCCCGCCACCGCGGCGTTAGTTTCTGCTCTACTGCGCAAAGCTCAGCTTAGGCCCTCCCAAGTGGTAAAGCACTACCTGCTGTTTAATTCCATGCCTTATCTAGCAGAGAAGAAGTGTTACCTTGGGAAAAAAGTAAAAACAGCGTCGTCTGTAGTCAGAATGTGAAATAGTTTCACAAGGTTTTACAGCTAAAATCTTTAACATCTATTGTAGGCTAAAAGAATCATCAAGTGTTTTTCTTTAGTAGTTTGTTCTTGGTTTTCATAACTGAGACTACTGGTTTTAATTAGTTCTCACTATGGAAAGCAGCTGGAACTTTTTTTTTTCTTGTAAAAAAACCCCATACTTTGCCCACTTCATGATACTGGTGTCACTAGTTTGCAGATGCCAGTGGCTTTTTACTAGTTTCCTCTTTATTACCTCCTCCTGTATCCTGTTGTCTGCACCTTGTCAAGTACATAAAAAAACCAAGGGTCGTGCCAAGATCAGCAAACGTGCTTAAGAGTATTGAGTGCTAAGCAGACAACCTTCAGCCTAGCTTGCTGCTTCTCCTGTAGTTGTCCACTGAACTGCACATGTGTACCCTTTGACTTACTCATCTGATTCACAGACTATCCAGGTTTTAATTACTGGATTCCACACAACTGGGTCAATAGCTTTTCCAGTCACACCTGCGCTTTGAAGTGGAGTGAAACAGGGCTGAATGAAATGCTGGATGTTGATAAAATAGGAACCACCAACTTCCATGCTGGTAATACTTTGAGATTTTCCTTGCCAACGCCTTGGTCCTAAAGCTTTAGATGATACATCTGTATTGACTGAAATAAAACTTGGTTTTAGACAACCTCACTTAGACTACTATTTGAATAATTTTTCTACTCACACAATCTAATAAGAGATTCTGAATGGTAAGGAACTGCAGTCAGCACTCGTGCTTCAGTTGAGTTTCACTTCATTTTAAGTTCCTGTTTCAGAACACCAGCAGCAGAAGGGATGTATATGAAAAATACAGTTTAGCCATCAAAATCCATGTGAGCAGCAATCAACCAAGTGCTTCATCTCATTGCTGCACCTCCCATCCTACTAACTTCAGAAGGTATTGTACTAAAGTTACACTACAACAGTCTTCAATAAGAGTTTTCTTAATCACTACAGTAAGGTATTCTGCACCTTTTATTAAAGGAGGTTGAGGTTTCATCAGTCAGGTGAGCCAACCTAACTTTCTGCTAAAAGGAACAGCTTTATTTACTCATTCAGGAAGAGTCTTGAACTGGCTCTTCACTTCTGCTTAATAAAGTTGGCATAAAACTAACCCAGCATTCAAGAAAATCTTTGTCACTTTATTAAGCTGAATTAGCCTGATAGGGGCAGGGAGTGCAATGTCAAAAGCCCTACATCTGGGGAAGAGGAAGAAGACTGTGAGATCATGTGGTGACAGCTTGCTTACTCAGGAGCTGTCACTCCAAACAGTAGTAACTATATTGTCCCAACCAAAATTGGTTGGACAGGGGTCTGAGCAATCTCATCTAGTTGAAGATGTCCCTGCTCACTGCAGGGGGTTGGGACTAGATGACCTTTAAAGGTCCCTTCCAACCCAAACCATTCTATAAAAATGACCTAATGTGCAGGAGAATTATCAGCCGCACAAGGAACACGACAGGGAACCAGCTAGGCATTAGTTCTGGAAGCACAGGAGGACAGAAAAAAGAGAATGCAACCATGAACCATCAGTGTTTACTGTTGCAGAAAAAAAGGCAACTTGGCAAATATTCAAGAAGGGAAGGAATCTATTGTATAAGAATGACACTGATAAGGCACTGCCTAAAGCACAGTATCTGTAGATACTGTAGAGACCAGCCAGAAAATATCATACAAATGACAATTTAAAATATCAGGGTTGCTTCACATAACAAATAGAAAACTGAAAGAAGATTATCTTTTGAGTTACTACGTCTGTCTTCCAATGAATTTAGGATTGCTTGCACATCCGTAGGGGGTATTAAGCAGAGCAATAGTTTTCACATTCCTTTTTCCAACACCTAAGGCTCAGATGAAGTATATAATCTATTTTACTCATTTCCAAGGGTAAACAAAATATCTTGGATTAATGAATGATTTTCATGTGGAGCTCTGTAAAATTACTAAGTTTATATACGCTATCTTGTTACGATGAGGCAGAATTAAGGATTTTTTCAGATAAGGAGATAAATGCTAAGCGTTACTAGCCTAAGTCATAAGCATCTACATTAGCACAGTAGAAATCAAATGCAATGTTTTCTGCATTTCTGTTTGAAGTTATAAGCCAGGGAGTTACTGACAGTTATTAACTCTGCACATTAAGTTACTAAAACATCCTGCTAATCAAGTGAAGAAGTTAATCTTCCTCGCTACTGCACTCCCAATTCATAGTCTTTTTTATAACTAGATTTCTTCTCAAGAAAGAATCCACAAACCAAAACAAACAGTCTTTCAGTTATCTAGGATTCGACAATGAGCAAAGCAACAGGTGATACTGCTTTAAAATTATTTTGTAGTTTTCACCAATGCTGTATTTGGAAGTGAATTGCAATGCCACTACACTACTCAGTGGTCACATAACTGAAGACCTAGAGGCCGAGTTAAGTGCTATTCAAACCACAGTAAGTCAGAGTAGAGCGGTTTTTTCCTTTTTGCAAGTAACAACACAATTTCAAAGCTTGACAGGTTTACACTGTTAGTAACAGGTGGAACAGCATAAAATCAAATAATCTGTGTCACATATGCAAATGTTACATGTTTTCCTGCTATTTACAGGTGTCATTTCAGTACAGCCTCAGACTTTCATCGCAATAAAAATTATGAGCAAGTTCTTTCTAGTGTTGGAAGAGGCAAGAAGGATTACTGCGAGTTAGCAACTATAAGACCTCTTATCTTGGCTGTCAATCAGCAGCCAGAAGCTGAAAGACTGAATTCTTTCTGCTGGACTGATTTATTGCATCCACAAATTTTCTTGTTCCAGGCAAGGCTGTTTAAGGCTGCTCCTTAGAGTTTTGCCTGGCATAATATAAGTAAGATTAGGACTTTCACAAACATGCTACTAAAGTCAATATTAGTCTGACATTTTATTTTCTAGTATAGAAGATAGGACATAAAGCCTTCAGGATCTTTTGACTTCAGAAAAAAAAATATTCTGAAGGATTTTTTTTTCCTCCTTGTTGACGTTTATCAGTAATAACACAGTATTTTCTTTTTTGTTGTTAGTTTAAATCTAAACAGTGTGAGATGCAGTGAATTTCTGGTCACATATCTTTTGATAGTGTTTAGTGAAATATTAACATAATCAATGTTCAAGAGGAGAATCTGTGTAAGCACTCTTCCACAAAATGGTTGAGTATTCCTAATTGGAAACAAATTGTAGTGGCATCACAGGACAAGAAAAAAGGAATTCAAGTACAGCGAGGTCCCAGGGGATAGTTTTAGAGGAGACTGTGAAAACAACTGTTTCCTTTCCATTAAGTGAGAATTTCACAAACACTGTTGCAGATTTTCTCCAGGGGACTGAAAGTGTGCATCTCATTAGAACTAAGTGAGAGTCACCATGTGGTTGGGATTTAAAATTTCAATCCAGTAGCCATCAGGATCTTGAACAAATGCAAGTCCTTTCATTTTACCTATTAGAAAAAAAAAAACAAAACAAGATAAAGTTAAGACTACATGACTAGTTCTTAATGTCCAATATGACTACTTCGAAAAATATTTTCCTTTCCTTTTGCATGAAAATTAGTTCAAATTTAGACAGCTAATTCTGAAAACATCCCGATTAGTTTTTAATCAGTATTAGATCTTTGTATGCTACATTGTCAATCTTACTCTCAACAAAGCTGTAGTTTAAAGTCACTTTGAAATTCTGTCTTTTGCTGACTGAAGTTTTCTGCATATGCCCCTGTAAGTGTTCATCCTCTAAATTCAGAAAAATATTTTGTGCTCCAACATGTTTCGACATACTTTCTTGAATTGGTTTTGCCAGTATAAAATCCTGTCTTCCTCTGCCCCTGTTCATCTCCCATCATTCCTGCCTCCACACCGAGGTTTTATGTTACTGGGTTTTCTTTGTTTGTCCCTCTGATGTGGTTTACGATACATGTTTGCATCACTTCATAAAACAGAGAAATGGAGGGCAGGAATGTTTTAAATTTTACTGTTAGAAAAAATATTAATCATTAAAACAGGGTCTCCAAAAATTGTCTTCAACAGTAGGTCAGGATAGCACAGCTTGACATGTTATCTTAAAGTGTTAACCATACATTTTAAATTATACTTGCTCTATTAGGCTATTTATTGTAACAGAACCAACTTAACTCTTAATATATAGCTGCAAAAACTTCTGACAGAATAGTAGATGTCCGATTCAGTAATGTAGGAAAAAAAAATTACATTAGGTCTCTCAGCCTGCTCCACAAACAATGAATGTGAAGTCCAAAACTTCTTCCTCCTCCTTGGCATTTGCTACATCAATTTTATTTCTTAATGTTAAAAAACAGCATTTGCTCTCCTCCTCCCTTGACTGCTTGAAGAGTTCTTTCCTGTGATTAATTCAATTTACAGTCTAAGCTTCCCCTCCTATGCACTTAGAGCTGTGTAGTGATACAGAATCAAAGCCAAGATCTCTCACTTCAGCTCTCTCAGGGTTCAACAGGTGCTGAACAAATTAAAAAGGGCTCAGAAACTCTAAAATGCTAGAAATACTAAGTTCAATTCTTAAATCAAGAAATCTGCATTCAAGTTACATTTTCAGCTACACTTCTTACATTTGCTTCAGCTGAGAACACAGTGACTAAGATGGATACCACTTAAGTCACTTTTCATTTGCTTGTTCTTATTCCTCTAGCAAGGAATCTAGAAGATTAATTCCAATACGTGTAAACTGAAGCTTCATGTCCTAATGTTACTTTTAAACTAAAAAAATTACACTGTTAATACAGGCAACAGTCTAGTTTCTACAGCCAGAAGGAAGAAGTATCACAGATTTGTGCATGCTGCTGACTATTTGATGTCAGTTTTGGAACTCATTGGTCCTAAAACTCTCATAAGGTCATTTCATGAAGAGAATGCAGCTGAAAAATGCAAGACTTCTCACCACTGATTTCTGCATTTTAGGCTATTTTGACATAGACATTTTTTGTTTATACATAATACATACATAGACATTTGAGCTATATGTGATGCATTTTTTACTAAAAGTTATACAAGTCAAATATGATATAGACTAATGAGGCTATTTCTACTAAAGCTGACAGAACAATTAAAATGATAACAGCTAGTAGGTGGCGTTAGGTGGATTTAAATAAAAATAGCCAGAAAAGTCAAGAATTACTCAGTTTTAATGGGTGGGAGTAATGATGTCTTCTGAGTCATCTTATTTTCGTATGATAAGGACCAAACGTATGTGAATTTGATCCATGTTAAAGTAAATTCTGTACTAACTCTAGGAAGTAGTATACATAGTAAACTAGGACATCAACAGAGCATGTGGTTTTTACCGAAGGTCAGACTACATATAAAAGGCATGTAGCTGGACCAGAAACATTCTAGGCCAGGATGGACAGGGCTCTGAGCAACCCGATCTAGTTGAAGATGTCCCTGCTTACTGCAGGGGGGTTGGGCTAGATGGCCTCTAAAGGTCCCTTGCAACCCAAAGCATTCTGTGATTCTATGGACTGATTAACTATTGTTCCCGAGATGGATCTGTTGTCAGTTTTGCCCACTGTGTAAGAAGGTGCAGGGGTAGCTGGTTCTAGCACCTTCTAAGCAGTGACAACTACTAGAAACGCATTACCCAGCTTTGCAGGAAGACCTATCAGATAGAATATATTAAAAACAAGGAAAAAAAATGACTTGCATTTCTGATCAAGACTTACCATCATCTGGTTTCTTCACAAATTTCACTCCTAGTTCTTCAAACCTCTTACAGGCTTTATTGACATCAGGGACAGCAATACCAATGTGTCCTGGACAACAAGGTAAAAAGAGTGAAGTACACTGTTAAGTATTGCTGAGTGTTCTATAAAAAAGTTTGCTCAGCATTTCATCTTATGCAAAAAGTTTACATGCTGTAGTTCACATAAGATATGATTGTATACAAGAAAAACATTGCTTCCAGAAAGAAGAACATTTTGGGTATGAACATTATTCTCCTTCAGAAAGCTGGCTTTTTTACATAATGCCTTTTAAAATAGGAACTTTAGAGTTAAAATACCTCATATTGTTTAGACAAGAATATTATCTAGAGTAGGAAAAAGTAAGATTTTCAATCAAACTTTTATATTTCCTTTCTCGAAGTATGCCCACATAACAGGATTTTGTTTCATTTCCTCAGTTCAACAGCACAAGGAGTTTATAATTAATGCCGTATTTGTAGAGACTAACACTAGCACTGTGCAAGGCCTGAGCTTACAAATCAATTCAGAAGCTTTAAATGTCAAGTGGCTAGACTGAGTATGAAACTTATTTCACAAGCCAGTGACCTTTCAAGCACTCAAAATATCAAATCGAGCCACACAAGTACTATCCACAGTGCTACAAATGGAATTCTCCTTCTAGCTTAGAATGGGTAACCAGTGGATCATAAAATAGAAATCCAAACATAAATCAGTCTAAACATCATGATAATGTCATACACAAGAGCAATTACTATTTAGTTACTATTAGCATGTGTTTGCTTGCCAAATGATTAGATTCTTTATAAAAAGTGTAACTGTGGCTCATTACTCTGAAACACATTTGTTTACTTCTTTCTACTGTCTTTCACAGCTTACATCCTGGAAGAAGAGAGATATAGGATGAGGTGTAAGTTCCCTTCTTTCCTAATGCTAGCATGTTTTCTTCAAAGTAACCTACTAGAAAAGTCTTTTCATCCATACAAGTTTAAAATATTTTCGCTACTAGTTCTCATAAAAATAAAGCCTACAGTATACACTTACCCAATAGCCTTTGCACAGAATTTATATAGATGTTTTCTAAAAAACATCTGAAACTCTATTTTTCCCCAATACACAAGAGAAAAAATGTAATCACAATAAATCAAAGCTTAAAAACTATAAACACAAAACTAAAGACTTACCAAATCCTCGGGGATCTGAATTGCCATTGTGGTAAGACTGGTTTTGATCATTTTCAGTGCCCCAGTTGCTGTAAGAAGTAATTATTGCATATTGAAGAAAAACATTGAAATTAACAAAACCTAGATGTTCAGTTTCCCCAGGAGGGTAAGTCGTTTCTCCTAAGAAACCAGAGAATTTCAGCTGTTGGCTGCATTCATTAAACTATGAAGATTTCCCCTAGTCATAGGCCCTAGGGCTAATCCAGTCACGTTCCCAGCCCTTCACTGGTACTCAGGTTCTACATCTGAATGAGTCGGAGACACTCAGATCAGAGAGAAGGTTGTGCTGCATGAGTCAGTTTATCTACCCATCACTGGGGAACAAACAGGAAGTGTAGCAGATCCTGAAGCTAAGCAAGACAGTGGGGTATTTGGGAGATTCTTTCTGCACAGTTACAGTGACTAGTAGCATTAACCACCTGTGCATGCTTTGACTCCATACCTCTTTTGATTAGATTCCAAAAGCAGCAGTTATCCATTATCAGGATGCTCTGGGGATCCAAAGAAAGTTCTAACCACCTCGGGTTTTCCTAAATTCTGTGGCTTACCTACCCAGATGGCATGCATACTCAAAATACAGCAAGCATTATTTCATATTTATGTACCACCGGTCACCTTGCAGTTTGAGAGAGCTCTGAAAAGGTTAAGCTGCCAGGTATCCAAGATCTCAGCCATATTTTAAGGCTATATGACAGTAAAATGTAACCATTGCTGTGGAAACATTTTTTATTCAATCCAACAGGATTTACACTCATCCATTTCTGTTTAATTGCTGTTAGATAATGTCATCTCTCATTATATTAATACTTACTGTGTCAGTTCAAGTGTAGCTTTTCTAGAGAAGGTCCAAGCTGTTCTCTCAGTTTTATCTTTTGGGATATCATTTTTATCTTCATACGCCAGGAAATAGAGCGAGAACTTCATAGTAGGAAAGTCAAATTTTTGAAGCAGTCTAAATGGCAACAATTATTTTGAAATAGTAACTTAGAAAGGTAATCAGCTTGCAAATAAATCAAGATGCTTCCCTCATGGAAGAATTATGGCTGTGATTTTTTGCCTTTCTGACTGTAATCCACATCTTAAAATAGCTACATTTTGAACTATCAAATAGAAACACTCCAGAACACATTACAAACCTACAAAAATTAGAAGAATCAGATACTTAAAAGCCAAACTATCAGTAACTGAATAGCAAAGCCAGTACAAAGGCTCACATCTTGAGGTTGTTACTCTGTTACTTCTCTGCACTTCCTCAGGAAGATCTTTATGTTTATCCACTTTAAAATACCACCAAGGAATTAAAATATTTACTTTGAAACTTACTCGTTCTGGGGAGCTTACTGGCACCAGAAAAAGTTCAAGAACAAAGCAGGATTAAAACCCAAACACACCTTTAGATGAAATATTTTTACAATTTCAATAGCAAGATATAGGATAAAATCTATTTCACATGTGACAATTTAATTAACTAAAAAATACCTGAGGTCAGAAAAAGCTGATTATAAATTTTATCCCTTTGCTAGATACAAGAAGCCACCCACTTTCCTGTGAAATATTTGGTACATCTCTGTTTTCACCTAATTTCTAGAGATGGTGTGGCGTACTTCAAACCATTTTTATGTTGGACATGTAAACCAGAAAAAAGTGGCACACAAAATGACTCTAATTTCTTTTGCAGCTTACTAGGTATTTAATTTTTATTTTCTCGCAGCCACATCTTCACTAAAGTGGAAGTAGTTTATTTTACTGTAGTCTGGACTTATTTCAAGATGTTTAAAAATATGCTAAATCTTGTTTTGAAGTAACTCATTTCAAATGTCAAGAATGTGTACAGAGACTTAGCATCAACACATTAGGCTACTGCAGGGCATCTGCCTCCAACAGCCTTCTCTAAAAAACTGAGTTTGGACCCTGTCTCCAGCTTCCATTGCCTTGGTCTCTCATGACTACAGCTGGTCATAAGCCACCTCTGAGAACTAGAGGAAAACTTAATTTCAAGAGTTATAGCAATGACCATTATATAAGCACTGTCATAAGGGTCACCAGTTAGCTACAGGCTCAGTGAGGATGAAGTAAGCAAGTTGTACACTGATAATTAATGACCTATTTAAGAAAAAAAGAAATTTCTGGTCAACGCCAATATTAGTTCATTTGCAGCTTAGGCATTAACTGTGCTGTGGGAGTTCTCAGAGATTGCCAAACTGTCCAACAGGGCATCAGCTGGTGGGCTGGCATCGTTTATGTAGTTAGACCAATTAGTATAATTACATCAAAATAACAAAAACTTCAGAAGTGTAGTAGGAGAAGCCAAATTTATTGTTGCATACAACTTCTACTCACGTCATTCCAAGAACTCTTGTATAAAAGTCCAGTGACTTCTTAGGATCCTTTACTCTTAACATCGTCTGCTGAAACAAAAAATCCTGGGGAAGAAAAGGTTTATTATTTACACATCAGCCAGGATTTAATTAAGGATATTAACAAAGATGCCAAGTTAATAATGAATCTAAAACTAGCAGGTTTAGAAGTAACAAATTACTACAATTAGTGTAAATAAAACCTTTTGTCCTGATCTACACATACAGATATGTTACATAAATGTGCCTTTGTAACATAATGTTTAAAACAAATAAAACTGCCACTGGTATCACTCAATACATATTATCTGAGGTATCAAAAAAAGGGTATCATTCTTCAGTATTCTTTCATGGAGCTGTACTGCACATGAACCACTTTGCATTTAAGCACACGAGGCATGTGAATATTTAACATTGGGCCTGACTGGAGACACAGAGTTTAAATAAAACTAAATTCCTGAACTCATTATTTGTATTATTTCATTGCACGGGTGTCGAATTTCTGACAAGCTGGATGAGACCTCGGCAGCAGAAGCGGCCTGCAGTTCTGTCAGGGCGCTTTCCTCCAGCCGCGGGGTAACGCTGGGTACCAAGGGCTCAGGAACAGTTCAGTGGTTAAAAAGCGAACGTTACGATAGCCTCGACAGACGAATTTAAAAGAAAAAAGGCGGATGCAGAACAACTGGAATGCAATGACAAGGCTCTCCAAATAAAAAAATAAAAACGTTTGGAGTGTTTTGGGGGTTTGGTGGTTTTTTTTTTGCAAACCTGGCCCGCAGGCCCCGACCCGCCGGGCGAGAGG